TGCTTGGGGAGGAGCATCCTTCCACGCTGACCAGCACGGCCAACCTGGCGTCGACGTTTGGGAATCAAGGGCGGTGGAAGGAGGCCGAAGAGCTGTTTGTGCAAGTAATGGAGACAAGTTTTAGGGTGCTTGGGGAGGAGCATCCAGACACGCTGACCAGCATGAACAATCTCGCATTTACGTTAAAGGCCCAATCTTGCAATAGCAACGCTATTGTACTTATGGAAAAATGCTTCCGACTACGCAAACATGTCCTAGGCCCTCAGCACCCATGCACAACATCATCACTAGAAGCTCTGAACATGTGGCGGTTGGAAAATGTGGAGATTAGCATTTAACAGAACTTTATCTATTGTACGCTCATAACTGTGCTGGATGTTGCCCAGAAGAGATCATTTTCTTAACAGAGCTAGCAGGGGATTTTTTGAAGTTGCTATTAAGTAGCAGACAGAAGGTAGTGTGAATGCGGAGGGATCCACGTGCGAGAGCACGCTTATGAATGATATCTAACGGTATTCTTAGTGATGCAGCATTTGATGTCGCCACCGCTAGCAGAGAGGATGGTATTGATGGTAGAGCGGTGAGAACGTGGGGCGGCCGACATCGGAATGATCGATGCTAGACCCAGATCGATCTAGCCCGACTTTTCCGTCTTTCACGAATTGGCCCAGCCATCCCAACGTCTTCTTCCATCAATATCAGTATACACTCCATCGACACCGCGTCGGGATGGCTTCATTGGCATTCTAAGAATATTGTTGAGATGATTTCCTGATGGCTCCTAGCTTTGTTAGACGCCACGTGTCTTTAGAGTTTTGCGGAATTTCATTTTCGATGTGAGGATCAACTTTCCTGTAACACCATCTAAGCATATTGCCGATGTATTGGCCTGCTGATTCTGAGACATGGCTGGCAGACCTATTCTTTTTGTTATCACGGCGTTGGCTCTATTCTTCGTAATTATGGGAGATACATCTCTGGTCTTGCCAGAAGCCAACCCAAGCACGCATGTCGAGTACTCTACGGTCAAGGGGTACTTCCTCCAATCTGAAGAAAGCACAGATTCCTCAAAGTTTGATTTTGTGTGTTAGCACCCGCTCTTCGTCCCTTTCTAAGCTTATTAGGTGTAGAAGAAGAGTAATTTTGGACTGATCGATCGTACCTACGAGACTGATAATACGTTCTCCAATGATCTCGAATTGAGCCCCGCAAAAGACCAGTGGCAGCGATTTGTCAAATATGTACGCTATCTGAACGAGCATGCGCCCAACGACGTGAAGTTCAAAGTCATCTTCATGGGGCGACATGGACAAGGCTGGCACAATGTCGCTGAGTCCAAATATGGAACTGAGGCGTGGGATTGCCACTGGTCTCTTCTCGACGGTGCCGACGGAATAACTTGGGCGGACGCCAATTTGACCGACCTCGGGAAACAGCAAGCCCAAGATGCGCATCAGCTGTGGAATTCCTTGTTGGCTGGAGAAGAGAATGGAATCCCTTCCCCAGAAACGTACTACGTAAGCCCTTTGGTACGGGCAATCCAGACCGCGGTGATTACCTTCGACAAGTTGGATTTGCCACAGGAGCTTCCCTTCAAGCCTGTCGTGAAAGAAGTAAGTAACTCCTCTTATACATTACGAATCCGATAGTCTTACTAACACATATAGCTCCTCCGGGAGGCCATTGGGGTGCATACGTGCGACCGTCGCAGCTCTGCCACTTTCATCCGCGATTCCTATCCGTTTCTGACGATCGAAGACGGCTTTGCGGAAACTGATCCGCTCTGGACAGTCGATCTGCGTGAACCTAGTTCTGCACGAAGAGTTCGTATGACGGCGCTACTAGACGATGTTTTTGCTACCGATGAGAACACGTTCATCTCGTTCACCAGCCATTCAGGAGCAATTAGAAGCTTGCTAGAAGCAGTCAGCCATAGGTCATTTGGACTCGAAACCGGAGGTGTTATTCCGGTTTTCGTGAAAGCCCAGACGGTCAGAGGGGAAAGGAAGACTCCCGATCCTGAACCCAGCGGCACGCCCCCTAGTTGTGCTACCAATCCGACCTCGACGCCTTCCTTATGACCGGAGTAGTGCGTCAGGTCAAGATATGTTGCAGATTGAGGGCTTCGAATAGAGGCATCGGCTTCGAAAAGGCTACGTTACTAAGGCACTTGAAGGAGGAATGTTGGTATTTGGACACATGTTTGATATCCCTTCAGTATCATACATATTCGTATAGCTACAAGCTGCGTTTCATATAGAAGATCAAATCACAGGAATTAGGAGATGATCAACGTCGGCTGCCGTCTTCCCACTGCTGAATACAGGGCATATAGCACTGCATCTAGCTCCCAATCGGGGCTGATTCCCTTGCTCCCTACATGTGAAGGCCTATGGACGGACGCCATTCCGGGGAGTTTCGTACCGACGTAAACCGACGCGCGCCGAGTGGCATCATCTGAAATAGTGAAAGCCAACAGGTATATAAGAGCTCCGGCCTGCACAACTCGACGGCGCCCCGAATTGCTCGCAGTAGCACCCGCTCATCTGCTCGCAAGGCCCGTTCCCCAAAATGGCACCTTGGCACCTCGGCCCCCCGGAGAAGGCCAGGCCGAAACTCGGGTGGTGCACTGCGCACTGCGCGCTTTGACGATGGAGGATGAGCGGGTGGGTGGTGGCAGGTGCGCAGACCGAGTTTGCGCGGCGGATGGGGGGACGCAATGGAGCTTGAATAACACGCAAACGCCGTCGACACTTCGCTCTTCTTCCCTCGCACCTCCTCCGCTCACTGCTGCTGCCCCAGACGCTGGCCGCCGGACGAACTCGAAATCGACCGCACGGAATCGCAGCGCATTGCATTCTTCCGCAACCTCGGATTCCTTTACCCCGCCGGCAGCTTCCTGCGCGCGCCTCCCGCCTGCGACGTATCACACTCTTCTGACAGCGCCGGCAGCCCGCTGCAGCCGTTGCGAGGCTGAATAGTGGAGTCGTGCCTCCGAGTAATCGCGACTACCGGCCGTGGAACAGAAGCGTCCTGGTACATAGGTGTTGCGGCCCCTCCGAGAAGTCGCGAACATGAGGACGTCTGCTGTGCGCCGTGCTGCAATCTCTGTGACATCTCAGGCCTTTGCATCCACCCGCGCGGCCAGCATCCACGCTAGATTTGCACCTGCCCAGACTTCAGGGCCTCTAGGATCGACCCCGGCGTCCCGTGTAGCGTACAAGCCTTTGGCACTTGCATACGTCCAGGCGAGAGGCATGGCGACCACGAACAAGATCAAGGTCAAGAACCCGGTGGTGGAGCTGGACGGCGATGAGATGACCAGGATCATCTGGCAGGACATCAAGGACAAGGTGCGTCGTCTGTGCGGGCGGCTTGCTGCAAATCAATGCTAATCCCAGCCCGCTCAGTTCATCCATCCGTGAGTAAATACTCCGCAAGTGCCAGCCTGCCAGTACATGTCATGTGACTGACGTCCCCAAGATACCTCGATATCGATCTTAAATACTACGACCTGGTGCGTCCGAACACTTCCACTGTGCCTGCGCATATAGCCGTCTACGGAAAAATAGACAATTGAGCATAATTGGAGGCTGACGGAAGACAGGGCCTGGAATACCGCGATGAGACAGAGGATCAAGTCACGCACGATGCTGCCGAGGCCATCCTGAAATACTCTGTGGGTGTAAAATGCGCCACCATTACTCCGGACGAGGCCCGAGTGGAGGAGTTCAAGCTGAAGAAGAGTAAGCCAAGGACTGAGCGTAGATGACTGACGAGGTACTCATGAAAACAACAGTGTGGCTCTCTCCGAACGGAACCATCCGAAACATCCTGTAAGCAATTCCCCTTGATCCCCCGGGCCAAGAAACGCCCCGGCGTCGATCACAGTCCTAATAGCTATCCTCAGAGGCGGTACCGTCTTCCGTGAACCTATCGTTATTCCTCGCATCCCGCGTCTCGTGCCAGGCTGGAAAAAGGCCATCATCATCGGACGTCATGCTTTCGGAGATCAATACCGCGCGAAAGACCGCGTTATCGACACCGAGGGCACTTTGGAGATGGTTTTCACGCCGAAAGGTGGAAAGCCGGAGGTTATCAAGGTTTACGACTTCCCTGCTAGTGGCGGAGTTGCCCAAACTCAATACAACACGACCGAGTCTATCACTGGATTTGCTCATGCTAGCTTCAAGCTTGCTTTGGACAAGGAACTGCCACTGTATATGAGCACTAAGAACACCATCTTGAAAGCATATGATGGCAAGTTCAAGGACATTTTCCAGGACATCTACGACAACCAGTACAAGAAGGACTTTGAAGCCAAGAAAATCTGGTATGAGCATCGTTTGATCGATGATATGGTTGCACAGATGATCAAGAGCGAAGGTGGATTCATCATCGCCATGAAGAGTATGTATTCACGCATTTTGCATCCGATTGATATACCACGCGTTACTCTTCACTCTGCGATGTCAAGAGCAGTCCACTAACAGAACTTCAGACTACGACGGTGACGTCCAATCCGATATTGTTGCCCAGGGCTTTGGCTCTCTCGGCCTCATGACCTCCGTCCTTATCACTCCGGATGGCAAGACCTTTGAGGCTGAAGCAGCCCACGGCACCGTAACTCGCCATTACCGTGAGCACCAGAAAGGCAACGAGACCTCCACCAACCCCATTGCATCCATCTTCGCATGGACACAGGGTCTAGCCAAACGTGGCGAGCTTGACGACACCCCGGAAGTCGTTGTATTCGCTGAGAGCCTAGAGCGTGCCTGCATCGACACCGTTGACATCGACGGAATCATGACCAAGGATCTAGCACTCGCGTGTGGCAGGAAGGATAGGGAGTCATGGGTCACCACGACCAAGTACCTCGAGGCAGTGGAGAGGAGGTTGAAGTCTACTCTGAAGGAGAAGCTATAAGCATTTGAATCTTGGCCCCCAAATCCATCTTTGACCCTTAGACTGCGATAGAACGAGCATGGCGGCGCCAGGTCCTGGAGTTAACATCTTTGGGCTATCGCGCTAGCTGGCAAGTCTTGGTTTCCTCAAATATTTACGTCTGTAGATGATCTACCATGAACACTTCTTCTCAATAGCCTTCTCCTCAACATCCATCAACTGCGCATGCGGCGGGCAGCCCGGCCTCGATTCCTTGCAATGTCTTCCGCCATCTAACTACCCAACCTGCCCAAGCCCCCATCCTGCTTTCCCCCCAAATCTTGATCCCCCTCATCCCAGCGCCCTGCACTCGGGCCGCAAAGCCCCACCACACCCATCATCCTGCTCGCCACCCCCCATCCGCCACTCCCACGCCTCCGCGACCCCCTCAAGCCACCCCTCCACAACCCTAATCGACACCCCGTCGCCCACCCCGCT